TCAGAGACAAGACGGTCTGGGAAAGAGATATGTAGATGGACATATGACAGTGGACACAAGGTGTGACAATTTATTTTATTGTATTTTAATGCCCAATGAAAGCACCTACATGGTCTGGACACCAAATAACCAAGTGGATAAAATATCTTGCACAGTTGACATTCACTGGCATGACAAGGCAAACATGACATGGCCACAGTGGCAGAGATGGAGGCTTTGCATGGGTCAAACAACATGGACTCCCACTTATGAAGGCCAATCTAGTAATTGTCTGCTTTGAATGTTCAAACTCCCAGCAACAGAGCAGCAACACTGCACCCCCAGTGTGGCACTATTTCTTAAAAAGACCGATCAGGGTGAGATTAAAAATGGCAGCAGAGTGAGTGGATGCTGCACAGACATGCTCCCAGGAACAAACTGGAATTACAACTAAAATACAGAAAGGTCTGGCTCAGTGGACAGAGGCCAGCCTGCGGACTGAAGGGTCCCAAGTTCAATTCCAGCCAAAGGCACATGCCCGGGTTGTGGGCTCGGTCCCCAGTGTGGGGCATGCAGGTGGCAGCTAATCAATGATTCTTTCTCATCATTGATATTTCTCTCTCTCTATCCCTTTCCCTTCCTCTATGAAATCAATAAAAAAAATATATATATATAGAAAAACATCCTGAATAATCAATGTAAAACTTGCAGGAGAGAACTCTGACACCAAAGTGGAGACTGCATAGAGACTGGTAGGAGGGGCGGAGGCGCTAAAGGACTGGCCGGGCACCCACAGACAGCAAATGAAGTCCCAGAGAAATATCTCAGCTATGGGGATTGCCACTGAGAACTCTGGCATCTAATCCCCAAGCTGTGTCCCCCAGCAAAGAACACAACTGAGAAAGGTACCCACATAACGTCTGACTGTGAAAAGCAGCGGGGTTGCTGTCGGCCAGAGAGTGATTGCTGAAAATTCAGGCACCCTCTTAAAGGACCAATGCACAAAATTCCATGTGGAGCCACCCACCTTGTGCTCTGACAGAGGGAGGGCAGAGTAGACTAGAGCTGTGTGAGCAGAAGCCAGGATTGGGGACTCAGGGGTGAGAGCTCAGAAGGCAGATGACCCTAGTTTCCTGGGCTGAGTCATTCCCTCATGCAGCAGAGGACATCTTTCCCAAACAGACATTGACTTGCCTGGGAAGAAGACAGTTGACCCACCCTATTGGAAAACACCTTGCTCTGAGACCACTTAACAGACTAAAAATAACAATTAGACTCCAGGCAGAAGCAACTGCCCCAACCGGGGGCAAGTCAAGTCAGAATCCTACGAATCTGTAGGCAGCAGCAGTCTCTGGAGATTTCGAGGCTTTGCCTGATCTACTTAATCAGAAACAGCATTTGACACAGTCCTGCACTAGAGATTCAGAGGTGTAGAGGATCTACGGAATACATAGTCAAAAACCCAAAGAGACAGCCAAAATGAGGAGAGAAAGAAACAATCCCCAAATGAAAGAGCAAGAGAATTCTCCAGCCTTATCAATGATTCTCTCTCATGATTGATGTTTCTATTTCTCTCTCCCTCTCCCTTCCTTTCTGAAATCAATAAAAAAAGAAAAAGAAAAAAGAAACAATCTTTGCATCAGAGAAATGCAAATTAAAACCACAATAAGATATCACTTCACACCTGTCAGAATGGCTATCATCAATAAATCATCAAAAAAAAAGTGTTGGTGAGGATCTGGAGAAAAAGGAACCTTTGTGTACTATTGGTGAAAATGCAGATTGCTGCAGCAACTATAGAGCACAGTATGGATTGGGGTGGTGAACAACACAATATAATATACAGATGATGTATTATAGAATTGTATACCTGAAACCTATATCATTTTATTAACCAATGTCACACCAATAAATTCAACAATAAAAAAGAAAACAGGCCGAAACCGGTTTGGCTCTGTGGATAGAGCTCAATAAAATATATTTTTAAAAAAAAAGAAAAGAAAAAGAAAACAGTATGGAGGTTCCTCAAAAAAAAAAAAATGGAACTGCCTTATCACTCAGTGATTCCACTTTTGGGTATATATCCAAAGCACTAATTTGAAAGAACAGACACAATCCTATGTTCATTTCAGCATTATTTACAATAGCCTAAATATGAAAGTAACCCTGGTGCCCATCAATAGAGGCGCAGATAAAAAAAGTAGTGCTACATATGTACAATGGAATATTACTCTGCCATAAGAAAGAATGAAATCTTACCATTTGTGACAGCATGGATGGACCTAGAGGGTGTTAAGTGAAATGTCAGTCAGAGAAAGATAAATACCATATGATTTCATTATAAGTGGCATCTAAAGAACAAAATAAATGAACAAACAAAATAGAAGCAGGCTCATAGATACAGAGAACAGACTGATGGTTGCCAGAGGGGAAGCAGGTTGGGGGACTGGGTGAAAATGGTGAAGGGATTAAAAAGTACAAAGGGGATGTCAAGTACAGTATAAGAAATATAGTCAATAATATTGTAATAACTATGCACAGTGCCAGGTGGGTACTGTAAATATTGGGAGGAATATTTTGTAAAGTTTATGATTGTCTAACACTATGTAGCACACATGAAACTAATACAAAATAATATTGAATGTAAAGTGTAATTGAAAAATAAAATTTAAAAAACACACACCTAATCTTTGGTCTGGAGCTCCAATTCTACTTCAGTCCTTTTTCTTTCACAGGTGTTAACACCATTCACTACCCTCCAATACATTTGGAAATTCCTGACTTTTCAGTGTCTGCTTCTGAAAGAATCTAACTAGAACAGATGTCCATTAGGCCCTTAACTCAAGTTGTCCCCTGCTCCCAATCCTGGGATGTTTAACCTAACTAACCCAAACTATTTTTATATATAAAATGTAAAGATTTATTCCTTTCATACCTATATTATATGATTATTATAAAGATAAAATAAATATGTACAGGAAAATGCTATGAAATTTAAAATCACTATGTAAACTAGTATGGTTTTTATTAAAAGACCTAAAGAGTTAAAGCATTTCCCAGTTTACCTAATAATTCACAGCAGTTTAAAAAAATTGTAAGAGATAAACATTTTCAACCCCTTTCAAAGCTAGTATGGTGTACGTGCCTTTTCTGTAGCTTTACGTATTCCCAGAGAGTAATTTATACACTCAGAGATCTCGCTTGACAATCAGATACAGACCTAAACAAAGAATTGTAGAGTACTACAGTAGCCTTCCATGGGAATTTTTGTTTGTTTCTTTTCATTTCTAGTGTAACAATTACTTAGATAGAGGAAACAAGAACCATTGAAACAACCCTTTTGACAAAACACAGTGGCCAGAGGACTAGGGGAAAATATTTAATACCCGTGTGACCACCAGTCAAGTTTCTTTAGCACTACAGTGATAAGGCATAATTTTATATCTGTGGATAAATACTGCAATACATGTAAATAAAAATGTTTCCTATAAACATACTCTTTGTTTGCTTATTCTTATTCAGACCTATCCATAATGTATTACATTATGAGACCTAGTGATTATGCTCACTTTTTATCAGGAAAAACTTTCAGGAGTAACTTTTCAGTAGAAAAGATGAAAAATTTTTTCTCTAATGTGCTACTGTTTGCTTAGATGGTGATAACTATTTGTGATGGGTTTTCTACCTTCCTACCTTCTCTGATTTGCATCTGAGAGTTGACACAAGTTCATTTACAAGCTTTGGAAATGTGTGGTTCCACATAAAGAACTACAAAAAGGTTTAAAAGCCAGTTCTGTTCCCTCTTGGCTCATCCTGCCCAGAGTGCCCCCCTCCCTTTCATTGTCAAAGCAGATCCATAGGTCTAAAATGTCCTGCTGAGTGACGGGGCTAAAACTTTTGCTGTTTAGTCAGATGTCAGGACAACACTGAAGCAAAAGTAAGTGTAGCTGACAATGCACGGTTAATTCAAGCGATTTTGCATATGTTTTTGAAATATGTATAAAAGTCAAAGAACGAATGCTCATTGTACTTTACTGCGGATGCAGAATACCTGCAACATGAATTGGACACGAATAAGAAAAAAATGTCAATAACGTACACTAGATCATAAGATCCACTAGGATGTTTTAGGAATGTTTTATCATAGTTCAGTATGGACAGCAGCATTCTCCAGATTTACATGATTTTTATTTTTATTTTTTTGCATGTGCATTCTGGGAATTCCTAATTGAACACAACTTCACAAGTGCTCAAACCAATGATCTCAAAATGAGGCTCAAAGAACTGCACCATGATGAAACCTGAAGCAATAAAACACCGATGAAATTGTGTCTCGAGGGTGTGAGGGTACATCCAACTGTTTGGGGGGACCCCAAAAGTTCATCACAAGGTTCGAGTAATGTTACGGAGTACAGAATATAGGACTTCTCCATCCCGACTCCCCCCAGGGGGATGGAGGTGGACTTACATTTGAGGGCCCCCTTTGAACGGCTGGAGTTCGAAAAGTCTCCGTTCCTCAGCCTTTGCTCCTTTTCTCCCGGGGTTCGGAGGCCACCTGGCCCGCGGGGCACACCTGTCACCTTAACCCCCTCAGACCGCGCAGCCTGAGGGAGGCAGCGGCGGAGCTCAGGGAGGAAAGGGTCGGAGCACGGTGCTCGCGGGAGGGGCGGGGAGACGCCGAGGGTGATTCTTCTTCTATATTCTCTACAAATGCAGATTGACTGCAACGTTTTAACCGAATGCTAACATTGTGGCGATACCGGAGCTCAGAGTTGAGAAGACGCGTCCATCCGTCAGACAGCTCCGCGCGGTCGGGAAGAGGAGGAGGCGGGGAGATCGGCCCGGGCGAGCGGAGGAGACGCACACAC